GCCTCTCTAGCCTAATCTCTCTAAAACATTGAAGCACTAATCCTAAGGAACAGAACATAGGGTGAAAGAGATGGCTATCTTGGGCAACCACTATTCTTATGTATAGGGTTATTACATATTTTCAAAAATACCCTTATGTTTAGACTTGAACCACACTTAGCCACCAGGACGAAATTATCCAATTTGTCTTTCATGCATCGGACGACTACGAGTCCTTTATGAAGTCGCTTTGCCTTGACACAAGCTCTTTGATGACGCCATGTGCCGTCCTGAGATCCTCCCTAGATTTCGAGGCCCAAATCTAAAACCACTATGCCTGCGGTTTGGAGGCCGAAACCGGCAAAGCCTGCAAGCCGCATACTACTATGCAAAACCTCTGACGCCAACGCGTGTCCTCCATGTTCTCATCTTAGCGGTTCACCAAGTGTTCGCAACACCTTGCCTTGACTTGGTCCAACACTGGTTTATACTCCGGTCATGCTGTCTTCATCACCATCTTGCATGTACTCTTGCTTATTGACGTGTCCAATGCAAGTGTTGGCTGTCCACGATCCATCCTCCGCCCCTTGATCCCTGGGCTTTGCACGTTTTTCTCCGTAGTTGCAAGCTTACAAGTGTGGAAGTTCATATACTCCATAGCTCATCACTATTGCCTTACAAGTTTGTGCGATCAAAATATATCCTCTTGAAATCCCCACTTTAGAGCATCTCCAAGAGTATCCAAAAGAGTCTTCCAATCCAGGAATTTTGGCAAGATTGAAAAAACTCATCTCCAACAACTCTCAAACCCACCTCCCAATCTTTTGGCACCTGGAAAAAAACTACACCCACGCGCGCACCACACCCACACGCCGTAAAAAGTTGCGTATCATCGTGCCAATGCGGAGGTGGAAGGACGTGGGGAGAAAAAAGTAGGATAAGGTTCCTGATGGAAATGTATAAGAGAGAAATAAAGTACAAAGGTGGTTAGTATGATTTAGAAATAGTTTAGGATTCCTGATGTAAAATTACATTCTATCTCTTTAACACGAGATTTTGGAAATTGTTGGGGTTATAGCTTTTTTATGTCTCCCAATATATTTTGCAAAGGTTGGAAAACCTATTTTTGGGGAGTATTTTTAGATACTGTTGGAGATGCTCTTAGGGCTCCTTTGGAACGCAGGAATTTCATATGATTTGTACATAATTTTCACAAGGATCAGATCATTTTTTTTATAAGTCGACAGGAGGGGAGAGGGTCCCCCACCTGGGTTTTATTGTATTGGTCGGCTCTAAAAGCCATAGTTTGAAACATTACAGGGTTTCAGGCATTCCTTGGCGCACACATCGCGCTGCCTGACGAAACTGAAAGTAACTAAACATAAAATAACATAGGAAGCGTAGGTTGTTACATTGAGCTTGAAAGGATCGAGCACGACGTTGTTGCGATGTGTCTATCTTCAAGTTTTAGCCTCGCTCTCCAAATATATGCTTCCAATTTGCATGCTGAAAGGGCACCCGTGATGAAAGCATTTTGTGCGTTTGAAACCAAAGGGATAACTTCATTTATGCACAGCGAGTAATTCAACTGCTACATAGAATGAAAAGGTCGGTTCTATTCATTAAGCTTGACATCTCAAAGGCCTTTGACTCCATAGGTTGGAGTTTTTCTGCTGGAAGTGCTTGAAGCCTTGGGATTCAGCAGAAAATGGAGAGATTGGATAGCAGATTTTCTGGGCATGGCTACATCCAGAGTGTTGGTTAATGGAGAGCCGACCAATCAGATTACACACGCAAGAGGGCTAAGACAGGGAGATCCATTATCCCCGCTATTGTTTATCTTAGCCATTGACCCCCTTCAAAGGATTATCGAGCAGGCAGCACAAAGAGGAATTCTAAAACCTGTCTTGCCAAAGGCAGCGAACCTACGCTGTTCGCTTTATGCAGATGATGCGGCAATCTTCGCAGACACAGAGCTGCAAAACTTACACATGTTACTGACTTTCTTTGGAGAATGCTCAGGATTAAAGATCAACATCTCGAAAATAGAAATCTTTCCCATAAGAATGGACAACACGGTGGTGACCCAATTACTACAAAACTTCTCTGGAAAGATAGCGAAATTCCCTGGAAAATATCTAGGCCTCCCCCTTCACATTCGGAAATTGCGCAAAATAGATGTTCAACCATTGTTAGACAAGATAGGGGCTAGACTGCTGGGTTGGAAGGGAAGGTTCCTTTCCACGACAGGGAGAGAGACCATGGTTAAAACAGTACTGTCGGCTCAACCAATATATTACTTGACTGCATTTCCAGAACAGAAGTGGTTAATTAGGAAGATTGATCGGATGCGAAGGAGTTTCTTATGGAGAGGAGAAACGCCTGGCAAAGTCTACGGGGGACACTCTATCATTAACTGGCCGACCACATGCCGACCCAAGGAGAAAGGAGGATTACGGGTACTGGATCTTGAACGCTTCGCACGAGCATTGAGACTTCAATGGCTATGGTTCCAATGGAAACACAGGGATAGGGCTTGGAACAAGCTCGATCTACCGGTGGATAGTCGAGATAAAGAACTGTTCGCAGCATCCACGGTAGTAACAATAGGCAATGGGAAATGGGCTCGATTCTGGACATCATCTTGGGTCGACGGGAGAACACCAAAAGGGATTGCACCAACGATGTTCCGCAAATCCAAAAGGAAAAACTTGACAGTACAAAAAGCCTTGGAAGACAATTGCTGGATATCACATATCACTTCTCTTGTAACGGCACAGGAAATAAGAGAATACGTCACTCTTTGGGAAGCTATAGGCCAAACTCAATTACAGTCAGACAGGGAGGACATCATTATACGGCGCTGGTCAGCCGACTGAGAATACTCAGCCAAAAGTGCATACGCCATCCAATTCCAAGGAACCTTTAGCAAGCTGAAGCTACTACCAATTTGGAAGGCAAAGGCGGAACCCAAATGCCGCTTTTTTGCCTGGAACCCAAATGCCGCTTTTTTGCCTGGACGCTGTTGCACAAAAAAAATTCTAACAGCAAACAATTTGACCAAACATAACTGGCCAAACGACCCATTGTGCAAGCTCTGTGGTACAGATCAGAAACCCCAACATACCTCTGCAAGGATTGCATTTTCACAAAGCAGGTCTGGTCCATCCTAAAACAATGGCTGGGATTATCAGTCATAGATACGGTGACAATGACGGGGTCGCTTCACGGCTACTGGCGCAAGTGTCGTTCAAAGATTGATAAGGAGCAAAGAAGGAAGTTTGATGGAATCATAATATATTTTTGGTGGAATGTTTGGAAGGAGCGCAATAGAAGAACATTTCAGAACAAGACTTTGCAGCCACGACAAGTAGCACTGCTGTGCAAAGAAGATTTAGAGCAGTATCAGTTGGCAACAAGGACGAATGTCGGACTCCAGCAAGTCTAAATTTCTCTTTCAGTCTTTCATTCCCGCCCATCTGCCCTGGGCTTGGTTGCTTGTTCATGTTTTTTTCGCTGCTTGTTTTCAGAGTTGTAGTTCGTCGCCCATGGGGGCCTCTAGTTGGGTAGTAGTAGTAATAGTGTTGGCGGGGAGTTTAATCTCCAATCCTGTGTTGTATTTATTTGTTCTTTCTTTTTTCCTTGTCTAATAAAAATTCGGCAAAACTCTTAACGCCTTTCTAAAAAAGAAAGGGGCACCCGTGAGAGTCATTTGTTCCTTTCTGATAGCAATGGTGTTGCGCCATTTCCAAATATGCCATGAGCAGAGCAGCACGAAGGAGCCAAAGTGTTTCTGTGGGATGTGGTCTGGGCATTGGATCTCTTTTAACCTTGCGATAGGCCAATCTTCGTTAGTTGTAATGCCGACTGCATTCCAAAACTGTTGTGCATTGGTGCAGCCGAAAATGATGTGTGCTGTGTCTTCAGGGCCTGCATTGCAGAGGTTTCATTGTCAACTATTCTTTTCTTCACCAAATTCAGTAATTCACCTTGCACTGAATTCTGCTCTGGGATAGGAGCCATGCAAAGAACTTTACACGCAGGTCATTTTCACAGGTAAAACGCAGAAACAAGAAAGTTTGCTTTGTTCCAAAAGGGCCTTACAATGAAACCCATACCCATCGATCGATAACAATTCACACGTTCCAACCTATTGTCTTCCAGCACCTAGCCGGGGGCGTCCATCCACTTGAAACCCCCCTTCTTCCTCTCCTCCGGCGTCAGCCTCGTGTAGTTCCTCCAATCCGCGGCAGCATCCTTGAGGTCGAGCACCTTGTGTTGCCAGCCCGATGCAGCAGTTGGCGTGCAAGGTACAGGCTCTGTTCAGGTTGGCGTGGTACTCGCAGAACCCGCTGAAGTACACCGTCTCGACGGCCTCGATCCTCGCCTGCAGCTTGGTGATGAGCTCGTGCTTGATCTCGTTGAACACCCCTGCTCGCTACCGCCGGGGAACCTCGCTCTCGCCGCCCGCCAGTACCTGAGCATCTCGATGCTCCGGTTCGTCGACCTCATGTAGTAGAGCCCCGTGTTGAGCGTGTTGTTCAGGGGAGCAAACGCGTCCCTGAAGTACGTAGTCCGTCGACAAGCTCATGTCGGCGTAGACGGAGATGTGGTGGAACGGGTTGCGAAGCCATATCATGTCGGTGTCCTGCAGTGCAGCAAGCGGCGGCAGGCCGAAGCAAAGCTGATGAGAACGAAGCTAGCTAATAAATGGTAGCTAGGTTAGGTCAAATCTCAAATGAGCTAGTAAGCGCGCGCGATCGACGCGAGGCTTAGGAGATAGATCATCTTGCCGTGAAGAGGAAGCTATAACCGAGCTCGAGGATGCGCTGCTGGAAAGAGAGCTTGAGCCACACCAGCTCCAGGAATTCCTTTGTCATGATTCATGAACCTGTTGGCCGAGCTCAGGTTCGCCGTTGACTTATTCACCTCCAGGAGGTAGCAGTGAGGGTGAACGGTCTTGCAGCGGCCGAACCCGCCGGCGTCGACGGCGATGACCAGGACGTGGTTGAGGAAGTGCTCTATGTGTCCTCGCCGTTCTTGAAGCTCTCACGGTAGATGTCCAGCAGTGAGCCGGGCTGCGCCCATGCCTCGTTCACCAACGTGAGTATCACCGTCCTGTCCTCCATGGCCACTCTCGGCAGAAGCTCAGCTAGGCCTGCGAATCCCACCTGCGAATGAAATGTATACACGCACGATCGATATATATACACCACATTATTCATCAGACTATTGCATTTATGTATCAAACATATATATATATACCTCTTGATCATGAGTAGTAGTATTGTCGCTCTCCTGAGCCCGCGGGCCAGCCGACTGCCGGGTTCCACTGCTCCCCCAGCTCATGGAGATGCTTGACAAGCCGTCGCCGAGCCGGTCGGACGCCAGGAAGAAGAGAATGGCTGTGGGCAGAGCAGCGCCGATGAGGAAGGACACCAGGTGGGTGCTGTCCTGCTTGCCTCCAAGCCCCATGTTGGTTGTTGTACGTCTCCGAATTCAAACTGCAACGACAACGCTAGTCATGTTCTATATCTCTGCCCCTGCGAGCCTCTGGATCTCCAATGACAAGGCCAGATCAAATGCTGCTAGTTGCTACTTACTATCCAATCGCTCTTCTCCCAAGGCATGGACTTCATTTCCGCACTTCCTAAACTTCGTCTCGTTGGCTAAATCTTGGTTACACACGGTCAATGTCAACTTTTGTCCAATGGTCCAATAAGCATGAATCGGTCGAGATTACCGGGTCATAATTTTCCTCTGAGTAGTATCATCTACGGAGAACAAATAATTCGTACTGTTAGAATATTTCTAACCTTGAAGCTGGGATATGTTTTTGGATCTTCATCATCCAATGGTTCATCTCACCAACTGAATAAAACTTCCATTTTTTGCCAACGAAGAAAAGCTCTTTGATTTTCTTTTTCCCCATCTTTCTAAATCGTTTTTTTAGAACTATCTTTCTAAATCGTCACAAAGCTGTCGTACTTATTTCCTTTTGTCATCTTATACAACTACTGCGCAGCGGTTAGCCAACAGAGTCATAGGGGACAACTACCTCTACCTGCCGTGATGTCTGATCACTAGCTAGTAGTTAGTTTAAGCACAAGTACGATTTTTTTTTAGGGAACTGGAGGGGCTTTCACCTCTACAGGACACAAGTACTCCCACTGTTTTAAATTATAATTCGTTTGATTTTTTTTGACCCCAAATTTGACCACTCGTTTTATTCAAAAAATTTATGCAAACATAGTCAAATTTAAATCATGCCTGAAGAACTTTTGTTAATAAAGCAAGCCTCAACAAAAGAAGTGATATTTTGCACAAATTTTTGAATAATACGAGTGGTCAAAGTTAGGGTAAAAAAGTCAAGCGAACTATAATTTGAAACGGATTTAGTACGATTTTACACGCACGCATGTGCTAACCGCGCGTGATGGAACATGCTCTACCAGCGGGTTTATTTCCTTGTCAACCAGACAACCACCGTTGTGCGATGGTTTAGAACGCAAGTACATTTTCTAGAAGTACTCCTACACCGATATATACAGCCACCGTCTGCTCACCTTTGGAATTTCTCTAGCGGTGATTAGTTTTTTATGGTTATTAGAGCAACCGACAGGATAATTAATATTAAACTGTCGGTTAAAAATCACATAGGAAAATTAAAACCGATAGGAAAATATATAATTATTCTGTGAGATTACCGACGGGAAAATTAATTATCTTATCAGTTTTTAATTAGCACACAGTTATAGTACGGAGGTCATTTTTTCTATTGGCTATTGATGACAGAGATAAATTTCGAGACCAGTTGAATTTTTTTTTCCTGTCGGGCTCTAACTGACATAAAAGTCGTTTCTAACTGTGGGCCATCAACAATTTTTAATTTTATCCTTTGAGTACCGGTTACTGATAGGAAAATTAATTATCTTGTTTGTATTTAAATACCCCACAGAGATAAATTATCCTTACGGTGTTGAGTCATATTTGTGTCGCTATTGATGACAGAGATAAATTCCTAGACCCGTCGAAAAATAATTTTTCTGTGGCTCTAAATCGATAGGAAAATGGTTTCTGACGGTGGGCCTTTAGACATTTTTCTCTCTATATTGCTCTATCCATGTCGGTTATTTCCAGTAGGTTCATCGCCAAAGAAGTTGATTTTTAGTTTTCCTATCAGTAAATTGCACAGTAAGGAAAATTCCCGTTTCTAGTAGTGAGTGATACTGAGCCATATGACCGCACCAAGACCAAATCATCATTATGATAAGTTAATATGGCATGAATATTGGATGGTGATATGAAGTGAGTCTCGTGGGCGGTGACTAGCCTTGCACGACAAAGGCTACCTTGGTGCAGGGCAAAGTTGGGAACGGCGATGTAAGTTGTGACTTCGGTGTTTTGAATTGATGAGTTTGTCGTCCATGTGTGGTAATCGGCTTGCTATTCGGGGGAGCATGTTGTGGAGGGTTAGGTCTTTGGTGTACAACAATGGTGAGTGCAAGTCGATGTTTCTAAGGCTCATGTTGAGGTCCCATTCTAACCAGCCTTTGTTGTTAGTTGTTTCAATTGTTTTGGTTGCTTCAATTGTGCTGTTGCTGCTAGACCCTTCAGAGTTACTGTTGTTTCATGGTATTACCAAATCCAGAATTATTCTTTTTAATATAATCGACGACTCTCCTACTTGATTGTTTAAAAAACAATATAGTATACATGACAATTTAGATTTCAACTTGTGGAGGGTTAGGTCTTTGGTCTATAGCAGTGGTGGGTGCGAGTTGTTGCTTCTACTGTGTGTGTTGATGTCCCATTCCAACCAACAATTGTTATTAGTTGTTTCGGTTGCTTCAATTGTGCTGTTGTTGCTAGACCCTTCAGGGTTATTGTTGTTTCGTTGTATTACCTAGCTAATATGGGCTTCTTATCTTTTAATATAGTCAGCAGCTCTCCTGCCTGATTCATTTTAAAAAACAATGTAGTATATATATGGCAATTTATTTTTCAAGCTACTTCTAAAGAAAGGGATAGAAACTAATTAATTATAATTGGAAGCCTTCATAATAACTCCCTCAAGACATGATAGGATAAATATAAATTATATTTTTCATAAAATGTAGAAATATCCCATCATCGGTTCAGTAGATTCTAATCATCATTAACAATAATAGTTATTGATATATTCTATATTTTCTAAAAAGTTACCCATACATGCTACTTTTGGAAAATAAATAAATTAAAACAACATGAAATTTGCATCTAAGTTACATGCTCATACTACTAATAATTACCTATATTTGACCAAAGACTGCAATATTTGATCTAGAATCTATTTTTGAATAGAATACAAAGGTGATGGTGACTTATTTTAAGATTACCAAAAAAGAGAATATAGTAAACACACTAGTGTTTTAACTTAAAATACAGGCTTAAAATTCTGGCAATTAATAAAATCAAAATTTGAAAGCTAAACTATAGATATCACAACATGGCTACGACAAGAGCTAATATAACATAGGTTAAAGCTTCACTTAACCACATATACACGAGACATGGTGCACCCACCTAAACTAGTTAAACTCTGCGCCCCATGTGCTATCATTCTGATTTACTGTATGTGATTCATACGACTACTCGTCAATCGTTAAAAGCATTGCCAACACAATCATAATTTCAGACTATAGTATGTCACTTAATTTTTGACTATGCCAAACATCTCTAATTTTAACCAATTGTTTTAGAAAATGTTAACATGCAGAAGTATCAGTTAAAATAAATGTTGTAATTTATTGGCCCCGTTTGCTTGCTGAAACTTGGTTGAAATTGATTGAAAACACTGTTCTGACTGAATTGTTGTGAGAGAAAAATATTGTTTCGGCTGAAAAAACAAGCTAAATAGTGCCGTTTTCTGGGTAAGCCGAACGGGGCCATTGTCGTAGATGTTAGTTCTATAAACTTCATGAAAGTTTTGATTTACTCATAGCCTCATAGGACATTTGGAACATAGGGAGTAGATAGGTAACTACAATGCTGATTTTTGTACTTCCATGAATCCATGGATTATATTTGAAAATATCATATAAAAAAGTGTCCCTTTAACTAGGGTAGAATACAATTCTAATATTCAAGTATTATCCAAAAAGGATTCAACTCTAGCTTTAGTTTGGGATCCGCAAAAAAAGCTTGTCACATATCATTGCTCCCTTCGTCCCTGAATAAATCAGTTTCTAGAGTTGTTTTAAATTAATTTTTTTATATCTGTCTAAATTTATAAAAGAGCATAAATACAAATTTATAAAAGAGCATAAATATTTATGACACCAAATGAGCATATTGTAAAATATATTTTATAGTGTATCTAATAACACTAATTTGTCCTTGAAAATTGAGAATTATATTCTTCGTGGGACGCAGCCCGGCCAGTTGCCTCTCTAGGGATGCATGATCATGTATTTATCGACCAGTTCTTTTTGTCCGGCGTTTCGCACTGGGCAGGATCCTTCCATATGAACTTTCGGCTCTTCTTCTCCTGCGGCGTCAGGCCAGTGTAGTTCCTCCACTGGTCGAGCACTTCCCTGAGGTCGTGCAGCTTGTTAGCGAGGCCGAAGCAGCAGTTGGCGTGCATGGTGCACGCCGCTCCCATGTCGCTGTGGAAGATCCGGCAGAAGCCAGCGAAGCGCGCCGTGTCGAGGAACTGGATGCGCACCCCGAGGGCGGCGGCAAGCTCGTGCTTGATCTCGATCGTTGAAGATGGCCTGCTCGTTGTTCGGCGGGAACCTCCGCCTCGCAGCCCGCCACTGCCGCAGCATCTCCATGGTCCGGTTCGTCGCCTTGACGTAGTAGAAGCCGGTGTTGGACCAGTTGTCGTCAAGGCTGTTGGAGTCGTCGCTCGACGTCGTCATGTCCGCGAACACGCTGATGTGCCGGAACGGGTTGCGCTTGCGCATACCACACGACGTCCACGTCCTGCATGCAGAGAGACGATCTCAGCCGGACGTGCAGCCATCATGCATCTTCAGGTCCATAATCTAAAATGCACTGCATCCGTGCTTAAATCGTTTGAGCTTCGATGGATGGCTGACGGTGATAATGAAGATTTAGGGCTAGAGTTTGAGATTAATGGTGATTTGAGGCTAAGTAATCATGATCAAATAAAGAAATCAGGGTCACTAGGGACTGTAGCCCCGTCAGCGCCCCCTTTGGATCCGCCCGTGGTGATGGCGTACCGTGAAGGTGAAGAGGAAGTTGTAGCCGAGCTCGAGGACGCGCTGCTGCAGCGAGAGCTTGGCCCAGACGAGCTCCACGTAGGCCTCGCTCAAGAAGCTGTTCTCGGAGCTCAGGTTCGTGGAGGACTTCACCTCGAGGAGGTAGCAGTGTGGCTGTGTGGGTGCACGGCCTTGCAGTGGACGAACGCCACGGTGTCGACGGCGACGACAAGGACATGGTCAAGCAAGTGTTTGGTTCCCTCGCCGGCCCGAAACCTCTCGCGGAACAGGCCGAGCAACGAGTTAGGCCTCGCAAATGCTTCGTTCACTGACGTGATGATCACCGTCCTGTCGTCGATGGCGATTTCAGGTAGCAGCTCAGCCAAACCTTCGTGTTCAGCCCTTTGGGGGTATCTCCGAAGATGACTTTGTGCGGCCGCCAAGCCATCATTTCGGAAGCCTCCTCAGATGAAGTTAGGGATAGCCTATGGGGCTCATGTCATGTGATACTTCGGTCTGCATCGAGGGTGAGGTTAAAACATGCAAACTGAGGGAGAGCCCACGAGGAATATGCTCCCCCCCCCACCCCCACCACACACACACACACACATTCGCCTTACTGTGACCTCTGTCTACCGCCCGGACACCGAATCAACTCCCTTAATTTCTTCCTTGATTCACTTCCGAGTCTCCAAAGGACGCATCGACGTCATCTAGAGTAGCTTAACATTTTATTTATTGAAAATAGGCTGTTTGTAACTTTTTTTAAACCACGGACCTTTTGTACTTGAGGAATTGTAATCCGCTGCTAAAGTAACAATAAAGAACCAAGTAAGATGGTATTCACAAGCAACATATGCATTGACAAGTAGTGGTGATCTGACAGTGAAATTTTCAACTTGAAAACCATCAAGTACTGACTTCAATCTATCATGTGTACTTCATGAAAAAAATGTCTTTTTACACATTCATATTTAAGTGTAACTTACAGTCGAAGGATTTGGATCAGAATTCTAGTGATTAACCTCTTTGCTCAAGCAGAAAACCAAGATGGACAAGTAAATTGAGCTCCTGAGACAAATTAGTTCAAGATTGTGGTGTAAATTAATGAAATGCAGTGAACCAAAAAGAAATAAAGTGCAATAATTTCTTTAATATCTTGTGTGATAGTACCTTCATTCACATGGTCCTATAAAGCACTTAACCACATGGCCAACAATTGTGTTCATTGGTTATTGTCAATTGATATCCAATACTTGTACTAACAAACAATGCATTGGTTAGTTGAGACCCCACCTAACCTAGGTTGATAATCTCCATTTCTAATCCATGGACAATAGATCAATTTTATATAGTCCACAACCATAACATGAATATGCTCTATGGATGCATGAAAAATAGAAAATATTTTGAACTATTGATCAATATCATATTCGAAAAGATGGAATCCTCAATTCTTAAGAGTATCAGCCTTTTCATTTGAATTAATTCGTTTAGGGTCCCGAATATTCATTTCAAAATTAGACAACAATATAATGAGGACGGGTATCTCATATGGACACAATAAGTGACTTATGGGTGGAGTGGCGCGCGAGTCCTAAGGTCGCAAATTTGACGAGCCCCTGCGGCAGTGAAGGTGCGCGAAAAATCGCGTGCCTTGTGTGGCCCAGCCGCCCCTACAAACTATCTATAGCCGCCAGCCATCCCTACGAACCATCTGTAGCTGTCCCTAGAAATGTTGTCTATAGCAGTATTTATAGGGGTGGATACATGTGCATATATCTGTGAATGTCGGTATATGTTTAAAAAAATATTAAAATGGCTCATGTTACCCACTTGAGATTGCGCTTCTCAAGGCCAGGCCTGTCTTAAAGGGAGGGGCAAGCAGTGCGACGGCCGGGGGGCCATAGCCGCTGGGGGCCCATGAGTATATGTATCTATAGCATATGTATTCGGCTCAGAAACAGTCCAGTAGTTTCCTCAAAAAAGAAAAAAAAAAAAAGAAACAGTCCAGTTTGCGTGGCGAGTCGGCGACTAGTCTGCGTATTCGCGCATGCCTGTCTACGATCTTCGTATTCACGCGTCACTCAGCGTGGTTGCCGTTCCCGTTCGTATCTATTTATCTTTTAATTTCTTTATTTATTGTACTATCGTTATTTTTGTGAACTAAATATATATGCAAGTTAACTCTTTTTTTTTAAGATTCAGGAGGAGCCAGAGGGTCCTACTGCAAATTATTATTAAAAAAAGGTAACAGATTGACAATAATACAAAGGGTAAGAAAAGAAAGCTAACATCCTATGCCCATCCCCTTTCTAACTGGGAGCATCAGGGTACAGAGAAAGAGGAGAAAAAAAATCCAAAAGATTATTACAAGTTGGAGTTTATCCATGATTCAAGGAGGGGGGTGATTCTTGACTTTGTTGTGTGCAACAAGAGAAGAGATTCCACCGTGACTACCCTTCTGCAGTCCTCAACTGAGGGATTTTTGTTTCTAAAAATAACATCATTCCTCATTGTCCATATTGCCCAGCAAATCAGAATGAAAATGTCAAGTGCAAAGCTAACATTCTGAAGAGTTCCAATCTTGAAAGATCTGAGGCGTAGTGAGCTGTTCTGCAAACTGAAAATTCCAGGCCCCCAACAATCCTTAGCAAATGGGCAGTAGAAGAGAAGATGCATTAAAGTTTCTTCAGAAGATTGTTGACAGAGCACACAATGATAGTCATCCAAGTTAACTCTTATTAATAGTATTGTATACTTCAATAATTATATTGAAAAAAAATTAGATTGCTAGGTCCTTACTATCTTGCTATCCAAGGACCCTGAAAATTGTTGAGATGGCCCTACTCAAGGCTTACGCCAACCTATGGAATCCCGGCACCTAGTCGGGTACGTCCACTTGAAAGCACCCTTCTGCCTAGCCTCCGGCGTCAGGCTCGTGTAGTTCTTCCAGTCCGCGGCGAAGTCCTTGAGATCGTGCACCTTGGTGTCCAGCCCAACGCAGCAGTCGGCGTGGACGGTGCAGACCTTCTCTGGGTCGTCGTGGTACTCGCAGAACCCGCCGTAGTACACCGTGTCCAGCGGCTCGATCTTGACATGCAGCTTGCCGACAAGCTCGTGCCTGATGTTGACGAACACCGCCTGGTCGTGCTGCCCCGGGAACCTCTCCTAGCCGCCCGCCAGTACTTCATCATCTCGATGGTCCGGTTCGTCGACTTCATGTAGTAGAGGCCGGTGTTGAGCGGGTTGTCCAGCGGCGCACGCGATGGCTTGAAGTCGTCCGACGAGCAGCTCATGTCGGCGTACACGGGGAAGTGCCGGAACGGGTTGCGAAACCATACCATGTCGCAGTCCTGCAGACCAGTCAGTGTAGTCATAAATAAGATTGTTGGTTAAAGATATCGAAGAAATTGCGAGTCTTGGTGAAGAATGATCTTGCCGTGAAGAGGAAGTTGTAGCCGAGCTCCAGCACGCGCTGCTGGAAGACGAGCTTGGTCCAGACGAGCTCCAGGTAGTCCGGGCTCATGAACGGCTTGGCGGAGCTCATGTCCACGGACGTGGCGTTGAGGAGGTAGCAGTGAGGGTGCACGGTCTTGCAGCGGTCGAAACCGCGGGCGTCGAGGGCGACCACGAGGAGGTGGTCGAGGAGGTGCGCGGTGTCCTCGCCGTTCTTGAAGCTGTCGAGGTAAAGGTCCAGCAGGGAGCCCGGCTGCGCCCATGCGTCGTTCACCGACGTGATGATCACTGTCCTGTCGTCCATGGCAACTTTCGGTAGCAGCTCGGCTAGGCCCTTGAAAATGACCTGTGCATGATCGTCACGCTTAAAGGTTAAAGTCTCCGTTAGATTGGCAGGTAACCATGCATACAATTTGGGTGAAGAGTTTTGGGGCGATGCCTGCATAACTATAGCAAGCTTACAAGCACAATACAAGCAGAAGACTGCAGCAGACAGCATGGCTCATGAACACATTTACGTGCGCGTTACCTCATTTGCATCGTCGCCGCCCGCCGGCCCGTTCCCCCAGCTGCGCGAGATGCTGGACAAGCCCTCGCCGAGGCGGTCGGACGCGAGGAAGAAGAGGAGGGCAGTGGGCAGCGCCGCGCCGAGGAAGAACGACACCGCGTGGCTGCCCGCCGCCTCCTTGCTCATCCGAAACCCCAGCCCCATGGCCATGTCTTTGCTGGGCTACTGTTCCATATGGACGTGTCTACTTAAACGCCGGGCTTTGCTTTGGTCAGGTCGTGCGTGGACTTGTTGTGTCAAGGAAGCCAATAAGACGATCGAGTGCTCCGCCATGCCACGCCACGGTTTGACGCGCGAGTGCAACCAGCGGCGTACGTCCGCACGGATGTGCGTTTTTTCCTCGTGCCCAGCTGGTGTAATAAACGTAGACCGGCCGGCGCAGGCGAAGGTTGCCGGATTGCTATATGTTGTTTCAACGATCCAGGCAGTCCGGCTCTAGTTGTCAACGATCCAGGCAGTAGTTTCGAAGAATATTTGCTAGCTGAAGCTTCACCTTTGGACTACCCTGAAAAAGTGTGAAAAATGGTTTGTATAGTACAAAGAAGAAAATCCCAGGATTTGACGTGTGAGTTTATCAACTTACAAAACAGGCTGCTAGGATGATTAGTCTCCCACAACAAAGACTTGATGACAACGTTTATTTCCACGACATAATTTATTTGCCACTCAGAGTTGAAATTTCAAAATTTTCATCCGTCAGAGTAATTTTTGACATACTATACACACATAGGTTTTCGCTAAAGGCTCGTTCGGTTAGCTCATTCCAGATCCAAGAACCAATCCAGGTTTGTTAGAAATCATCCATGCTATGGGCCGGCATCAGGCCATGGACCGAGTGGCCTACTGGGGATGTCAGCAGCCTACGTAAATGAGGAACAATTCTACAAGAGAGCATCGGCGAAGCAGCAGGGAGGCATCGAACAAATTACCTGAAACAGAATCTCTCTCCCTCTAGTTACTGTTCATCTTCCTCCTCAAGCCTCTTACTCTTGTACCCGGATTCTCTACTTCCGGTATCTTCTAGAACCCTCTATAGTATCTTCCTCCTCGCTCCGATTCCCCTGCTTGCTGCCTTCCCCCGGTTCCATCTCATATTGTACGGGATCTTATTACCTGTGTGCTGATTGTTATGGAGTTGGAGTGATCTGAGTTCATCCTCTAGATCGTTTGCTGCTTACAATTGGTATCAGAGACAGCCGATTCTCGGTATCCATCACCATGAGTCCCCACGACTGCAAGCTGTTCGACGACTTCGACGCTCGATGGGAGCGCCGCTTCTCCGACACCCGGGCCGCGCACGAGATCTCTCGGGTCGTTTCCGCTTCGACCCAAGCTGCGGCCGTCGGAGCCGCCGTCGTCGCCGACAACTGGGGCGGTCTCTTCGGTGGAGATTATGATTCCATCGCCACGGATACCGATGCACCAGTGGTGGCTGACAACTGGGGAGGTCTCTTTGACTGGGAGGACGACTACATCGCCGCCCACCTCTCCGCACAGCTCCCGGGCAGCCAAGCCGAGCAGTGCCCGATGCTCGTGCCGGCGTCGCTCCCCATAGAGCGCGGATGTGAGGTCTTTGGCCTCGACACCGTTCCGCCACGCATCTCCGCCTCGGTCATGACCGCACCAGCGACTCCGTCTCCTCCCGTGACGCTGGGCCCGCCGTTCGTGCCTCCGCAGCAGAAGCAGGAGTACCAGCGCCAGATCCAGGAGCTCGGGGACGCTACAGTGTTAGATTGATCTCCACCCGGCTCGGTCCAACGACCGAGTCGGGCCCTGACTCACGCCATGATCGGGAGCGCCTAGCCGTTCTCCTGGCTGGTGGGCCCCATCGTGCAGCGCTATGAATAGGAGGTGGGGGCTGGGGCTCGAGACACGAGGTTCACCACGGCCGCCAGTTCCCACCGACATACTAACCCTAGTCCGATCGAGAGGGCGCGCTGTGAGCGACGAGAAGCTCCACCGCTTTTTACCGCCGCCACTGAACCACGCCTCCACTACGCCTTCGACACCACCGCTGAACCCCACTGCTACCCTACATCAACACCCGCGTCATCAACACCTACGTTATGGCTTGCTCATCCAAGCCCACCGATAGTCTACCTCTCTACATCCCTCTCTCTCCCTCTAATTCTCTCTAGAGAAAAACCCCACTGATCCGCCCAGGTGATCTAGAAATCTATCATGCAGGACACCGACCACGACCAGCAGCAGCCGGGCGCCGCCGCCCACAGCGAGCCGCGCCAACGCCATCGCGCGGCTCCTGGCGAACGGCAACCTCGTGCTGCGGGTCCCCGGCGCTGGCGTGGTGTGGCAGAGCTTCGACCACCCCACCAACATGCTCCTCCCCGGCATGAAGCTGGGCGTGGACTTCCGCACGGGGCTGGACTGGCACATGTCCTCGTGGCGCGCCACGGGGGACCCGTCCCCGGGGGAGTACACCTTCCGCCTCGGCCACGCGCGGGGCTTTGAGATCACCTTCGTCAACAACGAGTTCAATCACCGTCGCCTGCTCCACTCGCGCGGGCCTGCCGCGCTCGACCGCGTGCCCCGGTTCCGCTTCGACGCGTTGGGCCGCGGCAACCACGCCGGGCGCAACGACCCCGACGACATGTACCTCTGCAGCGCGCACGCCATCAGCGGAAGCGTCGGCCTCATCCTCGACCCCGACCCGCGCCGCCGCGGCCGCTACCTGGTCGCGCAGCTCTACCCGCGCGACTCGGTTCTCCACGGCGACAGGCTACTCTGCTACACCAGCGCGCACCTGCGTTTCGTTCCGCTGCCCGCCGACTTCGAGATGCGGAAGGACATCTTCCAAATCCACCGCGCGTACGTCGCGCAACGCCGCCGCATCCCTCCCGGCGAAGGCCAGCTCCGCTACGCTTTGCACGACCTCCATGACATCGCCATAGCCGCGCCGGTCAAGTGTTCGACAGATTGCATGGGCGCCAACATCAGCCTTCTGGCGTTAACGCACGCTGTCGAAGCTGTGCCAACATCATCACCAACCTCCATGGCCGCACTACAGAAGGTTTACTTCGACCCTGCTGGTATTTTCACCAACTCACCCACCACCTGTCCTGGGTACCTCGCATCAGCTCAGCTTTTTGAGGATTGTTCATGGAAGATCTCCACTGTGGTGTTGCTGCTAAGCACGCGTGTCCAGCAGACTCGTCACATTGATGGCAAGCTTTTGGATTGGGAGCTGAGTGTACATGTGCCATTCTTCGTGGGCTGCGCTCGCCCCGGCTCGTGCGTTGGCTGTATTGACACTGGAGGTGCAAACAGTATGGGGGTGCTGTGGTTGTCTCTGGAAAGATGCATGGCCAGGCAGCCTGCGCCGGTGCTGGAGATGCATGTTAGTGTTGACCTACAACCAATACCATGGCAATCATTCTGGTATTCTGCAGCTGAGTTTGGATCTGTCAATGCCAAAGTTAGACTGCTGGTTGATTTTGAGCTACTCGAGACAAGGATTTCAAGGGGTGGTTTCCTGCATTTATCAGCTATTGTTCAATCTGAACTTGATGTGCTCCATTCCTTCAGTCCCTGTTGCATTTTTTATGGATTGGTTCACCTTATCAGACTGTTACATTTGCTGTCCCAATGGGCTTCTAATTTTCTATTGCTCCTGTTGAGTGGAAGTGCTGAAGATGCTCCCTTATTGCCTGTTTGCTTTGCAAGATGGATGGCTAAAAGTTTGTTGCTGCATGAGAAAACAGTTGTTGAAGTAACACACGTTGCTATGAAGCCATGGCCACCTCCTGCAAATCTTCATAATAGCATTGCAAGTGAGCCTATTGAGACAGGTCCAGTTAATTCATTTGTGCTGCTAAGGGCTCCTGTTTTGAGGCTTCTGGCAGTGGTACAAGTCCCAACAACAGTTTCCGGATTCAGGACAAGCAGTTCTCTGAACTTTTGGCCCATTATTTACAGTTAGGGCCTGTTTAGATTTCAAAAAATTTTGCGCAGTACCCATCACATCGAATCTTGCGGCACATGTATGGAGTACTAAATGTAGACGGAAAAAAAAAACTAATTACACAGTTGGGTGAGAAATCGCGAGACGAAACTTTCAAACCTAATTAGTCCATAATTAGACACTAATTGTCAAATACAAACAAACGGGCTACAGTACCCAAAACCAAATTTTTTTTGCATCTAAACGCGGCCTTATTTTGTCACCTATATCAAACAGTGGGATCGCGACCGTGCTGCACAACTGGGGCCTATTATGAACAATTGCTTGGGTTCTGCCGCTACTAGTGAGAGTTTGATTCTTGAGTACTCATTTCCTCCAAAGGATCAGATGGGTCGCATAGAAGAACTGGGCTGCTACTTGGTGTTGACAAATGGGGCCTGATTATACCACATGCATACATGCACAAAGGAGTGTTTCTGGTGGACAATGAACATGTCCTGGTGGCAGTAACATTTGCTGAAATTGGAGCAACACCTTGGCCCTTCCCAGTAGTGGTTTGGCTTTCTAGTGGGCTGTGTTTTCGCTTGCTCTGGAAGCCACCATGGCAGCTACCTGCATTGGTTGCATTCATAGATGCTGGCCTTGATGATGTGGCTGATGATGATGCCGATGAGGACAGTGAGCATAAAGCAGAAGATGTCCCTGTTGAATCAATTGTGCCGCATGCTGCAGCTCCACCTGCTCTAACCAAAGATACTGGAAGACAACTTTCCAAGATGGAATTGAAGAAACAAGTGATCATCCAGTTTCCTTGGGATCCCGGTGGTTCCGAGCTTCTCCATCGGCTTGGGGGCAAGCCGAATTTTAAGAAGTGGGGAATGTCAGGAACCATCCATGCTATGGGCCGGCATCAGGCCATGGGCCGAGTGGCCTACTGGGCATGTCAACAGCCTACGCAATTGAGGAACAATTCTACAAGAGAGCATTGGCGAAGCAGCAGGGAGGCATCGAACAAATTATCTGAAACAGAATCTCTCTCCCTCTAGTTACTGTTCATCTTCCTCCTCAAGCCTCTTACTCTTGTACCCGGATTCTCTACTTCCAGTATCTTCTAGAACCCTCTAGTATCTTCCTCCTAGCTCCGATTCCCCTGCTTGCTGCCTTCCCCCGATTCCATCTCATATTGTACGGGATCTTATTACCTGTGCTGATTGTTATGGAGTTGGAGTGA